CAAGAACTTTTATAGGCAAACAGATGCAATTAAGCAGCTACTACAATACTACCAGGAAACACCAATAAACTTACGAATGTGAATTTAAATACTGTGCTCTCTTTCATGATTTGCCATATAAATAGGTTTACATCCTCTCTCCCTGAGTCTATAAGGAAAGGTTAAAATGCTAACAGGGAGCATGGATTTTCCAGTTAGTCGGTCCCTTTCTCATGCTCATAGAGTGCTGTGACTTCCACATGGCAAAGGTGGAGCACACACTTAAAGGTAAGGTCCTGCACATCCTGAGAGCTTTGCCTAGCTTCAGAGGCCTGCCAGAGGCCCAGAATTTCTGGGTACATTAAAAATGCCCCAAGTTCATACTTACAGTATATGCTTTGGTCAGGAGGAAATCTTTTGTGAGTTTAGATTTCTTTGCTAAAGGCTTGGCAGGAGCTTCGTCAGAGCCCTTCAGAAGATTTCCAGGTACAGTTGTATATAAACACAGTAACAGTAGTACAATGTCTGTGATCTCAGGATGTTTCTCAGGAATTTTTTCTTTGTTGAGCAAGGTAAACATTTTGTTCTGTAGTACATGCTGCTTCTTTAACAGGAATGTGATGGATATGCTGTGGCTATGGAAGGATGCAAACGTGACTTTACATTAGACTTGACTTCTGCACCCAAAATGCTGTGAGTGGCTGTTGGGCAAAGATCTCCAGGTAGATGTTTTTAGTAAAATGGAGAAGCAGACCTACACTCAGAATAGAGCAGTGGGGTCCAGACCTTAGCTTTACTGCTAAAAATAGTTTATTTTTGAAGAGATGAAAACCAGAGACATTCGAAGCTCACTTCTAGATACATTTGTGTTACAAATTTTGAATTATCTGAAAGGATATCACCTAACTCCCTCCATTTTCCTCCCTTCATTCTCGCTTTTTATTCCTCTTATATTTTACTCTCACTTTCCTAGTGTCCCCTTTTCCCTCACACAGTCCTGTTGGGCTGCAGACTGGGGAAGCCCAGGGCAAGGCTGTGTGCTGTGCTGTGCTGGAGGAGCAATGCTGAGGGAGCCCTGCACTGGAGGGCTCCAGGTGTCAGGGCTGGAAAAAGCATCTTGCCTGGTGCAAGCATTGAAAAAAAAAAAATGTCCTAACTTCTTGGTTGCTCATGGGCCATACTAAAAATAGCTCACCATTGGTAAGTCTGCAATATATAGCAATGTGGCATTCCAGCAGTAAGTTGTGTAGCATTATACACTTCTCTGTTTCTGTATGAAATTCAGTAAAAAACTTAGTTTGATATACACACACAAACACACACAAGAATACATTTACTCTCAGTGGCTGCATTTACCATCAAAGTTGGTAGTGTTTCCTGAAATTGGTTTCTGATCCCCCTGAAAGACTGTGGGGTTTTCTCTTTTTTTTAAAAAAGGTTAATTTCAGGGAAACTGAACAACATACATGAAACTCTGAAATATCAACTGTGCAGATAAAGTGCGGTAGCAAGGGTGTAATGCATGTGACCTGCCTCCAGTTCCTTTAATTCCAGTGAATTCCCAGTTTCCACTAGCGGGTGGCAGGCAGATCTGAGTGTGGTTATTTTCTGCTCATTCTGTGCCAACATGTGGTTGCGATGATGGTAGAAGGGTAGGAGTGGTGTGATTTGGGGGAGAGGGAAACACTAGACTTGAGACTGGGGAGGTAAACCTATTGGTTTTTACAGTGTTGTTTCAGGTCACATATGAATCCTCTTCATGTGACAGACCCACTGCATAAAATACCAAGAATGGTACCGCCTGCAAATCTTTGGCAAATAGATCATCTCCTGTGATTCATTCAGCATCCTTTCTGTGCTCTGCGTATGATGATCTCTCAAATGTGTGCTTGAAGGGGAGGGCTAGAGCTAAATCCAGTTTTAAAAAGTGAGCCACGAGCGGAGTTTTGTGCAGCACATAAAAGAAAAAGTGGTGTCCAAAGCTTCCAATGTAGATTGCCAAAGCAATTGCTGCTGGATGGAACGGGATGTTTCTACTGGCTGTTTAGAAACAGCTTTAAGAGACTTCCCTCTCTTAATTTCACTCATACCTTAACTTTGAGACACTGAGAGTGTCACTGGCAACTTCCCAGAAGTCCTGTGGCTGATTCTGATTTGCATAAACTTTTCTGTGTACTGGTATACGCAGAGAGAAATGGGTCTGACTGAAGTATTTTCTTTCTGTCTCTTCCCTTACCTCCTCCCAGCTTCCTTTTTCAGGGCTGGGGAAATACGATGACATGCTTGTGCAGAAAGAAGCAGATTTGGGAGGGTCTGTGTTGTGGTGTTGGACTCTGCTGGGTTTGCTATGGCGAGGAGCACTCCATGAATGGAGACAAGGCCTCATCACCAGGGATTCAGCAGCCGTTCCCTCTGAAAATGGGATTTCGGTGCAATCATGAGGCTCTATGGAGACCCCATCACTGTTCCAGAGAATCATTACCCCATTTCCTCTTCTGTTCTCCTAATGAGCAGTTTGTACTTCAGTACAGCACATACCACAGCCTTCCTCCCGTCTTGCACACTGGCGCACACACTGCACTGATGTTATTGTGGTTTACAAAGCCAAGAACTGAAAAATTGGGCAATATCAGATTTACATTTTGATATGCAACCTGAAATCTGCCCACTCATACATTTGTACACTGAGTGATACAGGGGTGCTGGTGAAATGTGTGATCTTAACTCACAAAACTAGGACAGAATTTACAGGAAAAGACAAGGAAGGCCCTGTCTATAAATTTTAAGGGCTGGAATGTGCACTTACATTTTTTTTAACACAGTTTGCTATAGATAATTCTGTATTGTACATAGAAGAAGGGTATAAAAAGAAACTTTGCTAGCATTCCAGAATGTTTTTTGATCCAAACTTATTGTTGTTTTAGTTATGTTAATTGCCAGAAAGATAACGTGCTGTCTGGGGGTGAGCAGAACTCCATCTCCAGGTGCTGAATGCAGAGATCAGTGATTTGAGGCTGGATAGGCTGCCAGAACTGTGGTTCCCCCAACCTCTTCTGGATCCTTGAGCTCCTGCCTTACTTAAGACTAATGATGAGACACCAGAATTGTTCACATTTTGAAGAGAAGTGCTTTTGTGCATGACGGTATGCTAGTTTCTAAACAGATGCAGTTCAGCAATGCAAAGCATGCATGCAGGCCAGGTACAGCTCAAATCAGAGTGGATGGAGGTGGAGTGCCCCTTCTGCTTTGGGTATAAGGGGCAGTATTCCTTCCATCTGAAGTGAATATATATAAACCTCATGAAAAACCAGCGCTAAACATGGGTGGCCTTTTGGAAAGTGTCTCTGTGCAAATGCATCCACAACATCTAGAGTGATAAAAATCATCTACTGAGCTGAGTCGAATGGCATAGTTGAAGTGGAGCTGTAAATAAAGTGGTAGGCGGTTTCCTGCTAAAACTCCCCTGCATGTCCAAGAATGCACTGTGACTCAGCCCTTGCAGTCACTGGGAACTCAGTGCAGACATCCTTTTCTAGTTGGGTATTTTTACTTCTCTTTTTGCACCATATCAGGAGGGGCTCCATTCATCCCTGGAGGAATCAAATTGACAATATGACCCATTATATTTTGTCGTCTTAAGGTAATGATCTTACAGTAGACCAATGAGACTGTTTGGACTTCTTGTTAAGCTGTCTGATTATCAATGACCCATGCCTGCAAAACAGTTTCTCTACTTGGACCTTTGTTAGACCTGCACGTGAAAGTTCTTGGGACTTAGATTAGCACACTTTAACTGGGCTCTTATTTGCATCTCTCAATGGCCTAAAAATCAAATTTTTGATGCTTTCATTTCATGTGCAAGAAGACTCAGGAATGACTGGATTTTTTAAAGAGTATGTGTGTAAACATACTGAATGGAAGCAAGACAGTTGTGTGTTTGCTTATAATACCTTTTCTAATGTATCTACTGTTCCTTCAAAGAATTAGCATCTTTGGAAAGATGAACTGAGCTGGGAGAAGCTATGCCCTTGTTAAAATAACAGCAGTAGCAATGTCTGGTAACTTTACGTCAGCAGTATCTAGAGTCTCACTTGCCCTAGAATATTTTATGTTTGAAACTGTCAGATGTTACCTTACTCCTCTAGGCTCATAGTTTTGGTACATCCTTTGTCATTAATATAATGCTTTCCCCGGTCCATTTTGAAGCCGCCCTGGTAGTTGTCCCTCCATGTGAAATGTTCTGTACCCACATGGCTTTAAACTTGGCATTGACAATTAATCAAGCAGATTTGGGAGATCTGCAGGTTCCCATGAGCTGAGCTAGAATGGGCTGTTCTGTTCTTTTTCCCCTCTTTATTCCATGCAATTGTTGCTTCTTTCTTTCCTCTTTCGTTTTTAGCCTGCCTCCTCTCCTCCAGTTCACAGTTTTTTTTTTTTTTTTTTTTTTTTAAATTTATTGTACTCCCTCTGTGCTAGTCCCAGCTTACTCCTTATTGGCTTCTTCCATAATACTGCTGGAAGTTTGTCCCCATCTGACCTTTCTCTCTGTGAACAGTGTCCCAGGTTTAAAATTTACTCCACTCAGCTTTTTTGCTTCTTTCCAACCTGTTTTCTAATTGCTTCCTGTAATTTCTGTTCAATACCTCTTTTAGTTTCAGGATGCTCTCTGTCTTTTGCTTTCTTTCTCTCTAAGTATATGTACAGGTTTTTTTTCTGAGAATTTAGTGTACCTTCTCCTCCAGAGTTTTCAGTTTAGCATCTGAATGTTATCTGTGGTTCCTTATTAGTGAACTTCCTTTCTGGGAAGTTCAGCCTCCTTGTATTTTGACTCAAGTCATTAACATCATAGTAGACTCTTTTTTTTTTCTTGCAAATTCCCATAACTGCCCACCTTTCTTTTCTTTTCCTCCATCCTCTCCAGTACCACACACAGCAGTGTTATGCGGTGCATTGCTTTGTGAAGGCTGACACCGGCTTGTTTCCCTCAGACAAGTGCTCTTTTGCTGCTCTCACAGCTGTGAATGGTGGCGGATTTGGTATATTCTGGAAACCTCCCATCTGAAAAAAGGAGTCAGGGTTTTCACAAAGTGCACCCGAGGAGTGGATACCCAAGGAGCTGGTGCCAGGAAGGAGCTCAGATCGTTGCAGAGGCCAAAGGCAGCCGCGGGGTAGCTGCCACCGGGGGATCCGACACTGAGGAGTGGGCTGAAAGGCGGGGGCAGGCTGGCAGTGCCCGAGGGTTACGAGAAAGCAGCTCTGGGGCGATTCCAGGCAGGCAGAAAGGGAAGGTCCAGGAAGGATGTTAGCCCAGAGTTGTTGAGTCAGGGAGGGGATGCTCTGGTGTTGAAGGCTGTGTATTTTTATTTTCTGACAACAAAGGCAGCTCTATAGAGGAGGGAGAGGTTTTGAAATGGGTTTGGAGAAGTGGGGAAAAGGTATGGAGGAGGCTGGGTCCAAAGTCTGGGGGAACTGAAAGCAATAGGTGGATATGTTGCAGATGAGGGGACTCAAAGGCAGGAGGGGCCGTGGATCACCATCTAGCAGAGCTGGTGCTATTAACCGAGGTCCTGGTTTGAGGACTGAGGACACACAGTGACCTGCTGCATCCCCCTTCCTCCCAATGGACAGCTGTAACCCTCACAGCCCATCATTTTTGTACATCAGAAATATGGTGGTATATAGCATGGCAGTATGTAGTACGTGCACTTCCAAATAGAAGGTTTAACAGACAATCTGATATCCACACTAAATGATCATTTTATTCACCAGGTGACCAGAATTCTCCTCCTCCTCCCTCGCATACTCTTTTTTGAAGTGTACTTAAGGAAAATTACTGGGCTATGGGGGTGGCGATTCATGTACCCCACAAACACAGAGCGGCTGCTGAGATCCTGCCTTCTGAGAAGAGCTCCCCAGAATGACCAGCGAGGCCAGTGAGTAGGCAGCACCCAGGCTGTGAGGAGCGTTGCACCTACCAGCATCCCTGCACGGTGACTCCTGCTGCGCATGAACAGGACAGCCCCTGCCCACGGCGGCGAGGGAAAGTGTTGCACCCTCACTGGTCATGGTGAGTCATTTGCACCTTCTGCTACATCTGGCATGAATTTCATGTTAAGTTACTCTAGTGCATTGTTATTTTCACTATTTCCTTCACCAGAAGCTGGAGCACACAGAGGTGAGAATAATTACCAGAATGTGTCCTTAAAATTGGCAGCTATTTCTCACTAGAAATGAAAGAATCAGATTTTGAACAGACCGAACACTGCCATTCAAGTACTCACACGTGGAGTAAAACTCTTCATCAGATGCAATAAAGTCAATGTATTTCCCAGGTATTGAAATGTACCTGCCTACACTTTTCTTCTATGCAAGTGGAAATCGAGCAAGGAAACAGTAGTTTCAGGACAAATCCATTTAACCATGAAAAGGGGGAATCTATCAGAAAACTAGCCAGCCTGGTTTAATTTCAAGAGAAATCTGTGTCATTCTTTTGTCTTAACGCAGTGTGCAACTTAACACTAAGCATTAGCTTTAAATGTGCTTCTGTACGCCACCATCCATGGTTTTGGTCTCACCCATATTGTGAGGTTGCCAATGGATCTTGTGGCCATCCAGATTTATGTTTACTGTTTAAAACTGCAAAGTGGCCTCAAATAATTAGATAACTGTGCTGTAAACTCCTGAACCACTTGGATTACATGTCCTGCTTTCAAATACAGCTTTGTGGTGGCTTGGAAAATTTACCACCAGGAGCTTATATCAATATCTTCCCTGTTTTTTTCTTGTACATTTATTGAAGTAGTTTGCAGGGTCAGGTTTAATAGAAACGTGGACTTAGTTTTTCAAAGGAATTAGGAGCAAAAACTTCTTTACTTGCACACTGTGCCTGTCAGGTATTAACTGCAAGGGCTTTCTGTTGAAATAGAAGTCTTAACTGAGAAGTAAGGGAAGCAAAGATAGCCAGAACAACACTCAGTTTGAATTGTGTCTGTTTACATTTGAATCTCTTGTTTGTAGGAAGTTCTGTTTTTATCTATAATACTATGCAAGTTCCTATGAAAGTCAGTTTAATTTTAGTATTACTCAATTTCCAAGGAAATAACTTGGGTTTGTGTTTAGAAAACTTACTGCCAAGCCCCCTCTGCTGGACAGAAAAATCATGTTTTCATCCCTCCATGCTGAAGACATCTAGTAAAACCATTCCAGTTTATTACTGTTCAAGTAATCACAGGGTCAGAGTTCACAAGATCATGACTACCTTTCTATGATTATCTATCATGATCTGTCATGAGCTTTAGGATGACATGCTGCAAATGACGCCAGGATGTGTTCAAATCCTTCCATTTGAATGAGTTTTCAGTCAGTCTGTTGAAAATTCATCCTGTCATTTGATTATTTTCCCAAGTAATTTGCAGTAGTGTCAGCCCTCTTCAGCCCCCACTATATCTCGTATGTATGATTTACATCTTGTTTCAGTGATCTCATTGCACACAGAGTGTACTTGCATAATATCTATACAGAAAATAATAAAAATCTGAATCCAAGAAGCACACATGTTTTCCCAGGGTAGTTCACACTGCAAAGACCTGCTTTCCTTGTCTTTAAAGTGTGATAAGAGAAGTTTGTTAGGTGAAAGACAATACTAAATATTGTTTAAATCATGTTTGTCATTTATGTATGACAGAGCCTGTTAGGGACCAGCTTTATATGTATAGATCAGGAAACAGGCCCAGCAAGGAAAGACAGTCCATTCGTTTCAGCACTAAGTTAGGACATGGATATAAGCCCTGCTCTTGAACAGATTGTCTGATGACCTTGCACTAATTAATAAGGCTAAAAGCAAAAAGAAGCATGCCACAACATCGAGCATTGCCCAACAGAATTTTGAAGTTTCTGAGATAAAAGTGTTGGACCCATTTATGGTCCTCTGCGGTGCACACCGAGAGCTGAGTTTCTTTGAAAGGAAATCCAAAGCAGCCAGTATGCCATGCAAGGAGCCAGTAAGGAGCTACTGCCTACAGAGGTGTGTCTGAAGCTTTTACCCCACTTGAGCTTGTTCAAAAATTGGTCTTTGAAGAATGGCAGTCTTTTAAAAATGGAGCAAGCCAAAAGAGCGTTGTTTGGGCAGCTGATTAATACTTAGAAGACCTTTTCAGTATGTGGAAAAGTGACATTTGTGTCCATGCTTGGCAAGAGGACTTTTGTTCCTCCCTTTTTTGGAAGGTGTCCTAACTACTAAGTAGAGGTCTCTTTTCATTGAAAGGGAAGGAGGAGTATTTGTTAGCCAAGAGGGACTTGGAGCTTAACAGCTAGAGCATTCACCTATGAGTGGGAAACACTGGGTTGTGGTGCCTCCTCTGAGTGCTGTTACATATGGCACATCAAGCAGTTACTAGATAACCTACATAAGTGATATATGAAGCTGAACCAGAATTCAGTGGCTCACCTCTCAAATCAATGCCCCAGCCTGCAGCCTTAAAGGCAAGTACAAATACCATTCTTTCTGCAGGTCAATGGCTCTCAAATGCCTTTCTGTGAACTAAAGCAAGTTCACAGGAAGACCAGAGACTGTTGCCTTCTATAGGCTTGTGGTGAGGTCCTCGTTTCAAAGTGAGCTTGACAAGCATGTCCTTGAGTCCCTCTATGTCAGGAAGGGATCTGAGCCTGAATTTCCCACATTTAAGCCTGAAACGCCCACATTCCCGCAAATGATCTCACTGGTAAACTGTTAGATAAAACTGATGAGGTTGAAATTGGTACGCCTTTGAAAAAAATGTCTAATTAAATCTCTGAAGAGAACTCTTTCAAAGCTCTATTATTTCATTCAGTTTGAAAAAATAGTGACAATTGTCCTGTAAAAATCAAACTGTAGCAAAACTGAGGGACGGGAAAACATTCTGAATTGGTGTTTTATGTTTAAAAAAAATTGTATTTCAGATGAAAGTGTGAATTAATTAAAGTTTCCTAGAATATGTCTTAAGTACAGCATGTTTCCTGGTGAGGTTAAATGAGGATTCAGTCTTAGCAGTAGTAGCCAATAACTGCTGAAATTAACAACAGGTTTGGACCACAAAGAAGTCTAAGTAGCCCTGATTTCTAGAAGAGTTAGAAAACAGCCTGTGTTTGGAATTTATGTCCAAACTCCTCAGTCACAAGGCAGAGGGTTAAATACATGTAGTCTCAGGTTTTGTTCATGCAGCATTTTGTAACTATGCAACATTTCCTGTCTGCTGAAATGCAGCTGCATTGCCTCCCAGGTTTAAGTCATCTGTTGCTTCATAATTGCAGCTCAGCACAGAGTTCCCTTTCTTTCTGAATGAGAAGGTTTTATTGCAGGGCCAGTGCACGCTGAGGGAAGAAGAGAGGAAGGAAAAAAAAAAAGGAAGCAGGAAGTACTTCAGTCCCAAGCAGTGGGTAATCAGAGACAGCTCTGCAATCCGGGGAGCACTCCTTCCTCCTGAGGCATCTGGCCAAGAGTTTTCTAGGTCTGCAGTCTAGATGTCTCATCCCACCTTCACAGGAACTTGCGCTTCTATGATCAAAGCTATCCTGCTTCCACAGAGGCCAAACTGGTCAGCCTAGCTGTAGCACTTGGTAAAAGGTGGGAACAGGAGGCAGAAGCTCCCTCCTACCCGAGTGGGATGGGGGACCAGGGCTGACCCAGGATATGACTGGCCACTTTCAGAGGCCTTTTCACTTTAGAGCTATTAAGTTGAGGTGCTGTATATTCAGACATTTAAAGATAATATGGAAGTGTGAAATGAAAGCCATAATAGAAACTTCTTCAGTATGTGCCTGCAGAAGTGGCTACCAGGAAAGATAAAAGCATTGCTCCTAAAGCATCTGTCTGTTAACTTTACTTACAAAACAACAAAGCAACAGTACACCCTTTCCTACTCACATACCAGGAATTTAATGGGGCTTCATGCAAGACCATAAACCATAGTTTGAGATCATTGCAAAACACGCAGACTGCTTTGAACTCAAGAACAGAAACTTTCCCCACAGTTTAGGAATAAGAACTTCATGGCACTGCTTCTTTTATGACTCTACAAGTACTCTTTACGAATGTTATCAGTTTGCAACACTCCACAGCTGTGTGACGGAAGATTGCAGAAGTACTGATGAAGGGAGCTCTATTGTTTTACAGCTGGGAAATGCAGCCTTTAGAAGGAAACGCATCTATCTATTCTACAGATCAGAGGATGAATGAAAAAGCTTCTGTAATTACTTTCAGTTCTGTTTCTTTTGGCTGCAATTTCAGTTTTTACCAGCCAATGATGTGTCCAGCCAGAATCCAGGGTAGTACAGTGACATTTATAAGAAACAGAAGGGAAAGTAGCCACAAGCAAAAGGGACATTCACTGAATATTGCCAGCTTTGAGTAAAATGTGCACTGTTTAAATGAACACTCTTGTGACTGTGAACTTCAGAGATTTTCTTAATAAGGATTGTTCCTCCCAGACTTGATTTTTCAAGTCACTTATGACCATTACTCAAGCTGATACCAAAGCAGTCTTACAGTATGTAGCATGTCTCGGAAGGCACTGTGTACCTTTCAGACAGGGCCCAAGTCAGAAGAATCAGTAGACTGATACTGAACAGTGCTGGGTTTATAGGTAACATATACTGTAATTTAAGTATTTATATACTGTAATTTAAGCCAAAGTATTTTATGAATTCTATCCACAGTATATATGCTGAATCCACCCTATATACCTGAATTACCAGGTGGTAATTTCATTCATTGAAAAATGTCTGCCCTAAGCTATTAGTTCCTTCATCAATATGGACAACCATTGTTAACCAACCTGGATGGAGGGAAAAAAAGGGGCCTGGAGAATATTTTTGCCATTGCCCAGATGTTCACCCAAATATTTGATTTGGCAGAAATGAGCGTAAAAGGGATTGCATCAAACACTGTGAGTGCTATACTGACTGTGCTTTGGCCTCCTTAGCTCCACTAGCGAGTGCTAGAGGCTTTTGTGGTCTGGAGTAGACCAAAACACCACTGAGTTACCAGCAAAGGAAGAGCCGAAGGTACCAGAATACAAAAAGTCTCTGTCAAACAGTAGGTTCAAGTATTCAGTTCTCCCTCTGCCTTAAAATCTATGAAAACAATGAAAATGAAAATATCTAACCCATATCTGTTAGGATTTTGTTAGTAATCACAGTATTATCTATTAAAAGAGTCTAGATAGTGTACAGTAAGACTAGAGTTCTGTAGATAAGAAAAAGAAACTGCTTTGTGCCTTTCACTTTCAGCCTGCAGTTTCTCGTAAATGAAGCTGTAACCGGCAACAGAGTTTTGCCTTGCAAATCCGAGGTTGGGCGCTGTCCTTTTCCGTTCTGAAGTATCTATTGCCTGAAATTATTATCTGTTCAAATTGTAGCAGAGCTACAGATCTTCTACAAACGCTCATGTACAAAATTTGAAATGATTTGAATATAACTGCTTGATGTTTGGAACGACAAAACTCCACAGGTGCAAGCAAAAACAGGCACACATTGTCATGCCTGCTCTGCACAGCCACTTTATGCTACGTGACATCTGCATGAATCTTAGACACCATCTGCACTGCACTGATGTCTCCTAGTTGACTCTTAAATTATTGACAGTTTCTATTTTGAATAAAAAAGCACTGTTGGCTTTTGCAGTAGAGTGCACTATTGCAAGCCTGGTTTTGTGGGCTCGTCAGGTTTTGAAAATAAGGTGTACTGGGTTTGCATTTATCATGTATTGCTGCTTTTTATGACAAGCTGAAAGCTTGCTGAGTTTCTGGGTTCAATATTTTTGAATCCCTGAAGAGTTGATTTTTAGTTGTATTTGAATCTCAAGTCCAAGTTTTGTTGTTTAGTTTGGAGGGTCTGGAGCACATGTCCTACGAGGAGCGGCTGAGGGAACTGGGGGGTTTAGTCTGGAGAAGAGGAGGCTGAGGGGAGACCTCATCGCCCTCTACAGCTCCCTGACAGGAGGGTGCAGAGAGGGGGGATGAGTCTCTTTAACCAAGGAACAAGCGATAGGACAAGAGGGAATGGCCTCAGGCTGCACCAGGGAAGGTTTAGACTGGATATTAGGAAGCATTTCTTTCAGGAACGGGTTGTCAGGCGTTGGGATGGGCTGCCCAGGGCAGGGGGGGGTCCCCATCCCTGGAGAGGTTTAAGAGTCATAGTTTAAACGACATAGTGCTGAGGGATCTGGTGGAGTTGGGAACTGTCAGTGCTAGGTTAATGGACTAGATGATCTTCGAGGTCTTTTCCAACCTAGATGATTCTGTGGTTCTGTAATGTCGCTGTGATGTTCTCAGTTTAAACAAGATAAAGCTCATAAGGAGAAATGATCTTTGACTGAACTTGAGAAAGATCTTGCCTGCTTGAAAATTTGACTCTTAGTAAAAGCCTCTCCCTACTAAGCACCAGAAATTTATTTCATGAATCTTTGAACAGGCCTTGAATTTTGCAGAACCCTGCCAGTGTATGCTCTGGAACAGCTGTAACTTCTCAGCCTTACTGGCCTCTATGCATATTTCTAATATTTGACATCTCAGATTTTAAATTTTCAAAAATAAAATGCTACTCTTCTGGCTACTTTTCTATGGGAAAATTATTCTACTCTCACTTCACTGGATGAACTGATGCTGACAATGCTAATCAGAGTGTATTTATGCAAAGCCAGCAGCTGTCAAGGGAGGACACCATGGTCTTTATTTCCCTACACTGGTTATAGGGGCTCTCTGGTCCTGTTAAACCTCTAAACATCCCATTCTTTTATGAAGTGAAATGAAGTCAGAATGGCTGAATGACTGAAGTCTCCTGGCTTCACTTCAGTCAGGACAAAGATGTAATGCTTTGGATGCCATTCATGTTTCCTGTTTAAAAAGAGGGTTTTTTTCCTTCGTGCAGGAGTTTGAACAAGCTCATCTGTAAGCCAGCTTTACAGACTATTTCCAGAGCAGCAAGCAGTACTGGTAAAGACTATGATTAGTTCCTTTTTTTTGCTTTCATCATGTCATAGTCCTATTCCATAGAACACTGATGTATTTCAATTACATACCAGCATATTTATAGTACAGAAAGAAATAAACAGGTGACACCCACTTCTGCAGAATGCGACTGGAGCTCTCTAAGCATTTCCTCTAAGTATTCTTTGTAAATGAAATGAGTCAGCTAAGCTGGTGAGCAGCATCACACTGTTTTCATAGCCTGTAGGCTACCATCAGTAGGAATGTGTGGTGAGTAGTGACAGGAACTGGTTAAGTTTGCGTGATGGTAGAGCAATGAATTTCTCATGTTAAGGCTGGCTGTACAAGCTAAGGTTTCCACCCCTCTCTGAGGAGGTGTCTGAGCCAGATGCTATTTTCCCTTTGCCAAACACTGGGTGCAGCTGACAGCTCCTGGCAGCTGCAGGAAAACTCTTGCCGTAATCCTCTACTGATCCCACTAAGCATAAGCTAATATGGAATGTATAGCATCTGTATTGGGTTCTCAGGAAAAAAAAGAGCATGAGAGGGTGCCTTGCTAAAGCTTTACTTGATAGCATTTGCCACAAAAGTTAGTTCATCCTATCTTAGAGTGACTCCCATGCAGCTTTGGCAGGACAACACTATGGGAGAGGCCAGACTCTTGTTGTTCGTAGGAGTATTATGGTGTATGTTGCTCATGTTTACCTGCCTTGTCCAAGTCACTTCTAAAAAGTCACTTATTCAGAGCTACCTGCTAACTAAATTCAAGTTGCACCTAGAGTTTTCCTGTTCCAGCAGATGACTTGTCTGGCTCCAGGTGTTTTGAAATTGCTGGTCAAACATAATTTAGCATCCGTACGCCAGACTGATCAGTCCCAAGGCATAAATTACAAGCAGCTGAAGTTCAGGTTAGGGATGCGAATACGACTGACTTCCAACCCATTAATTCCAACCCATTGATCCATTAATTTCAAATCATTAATTAAATTCAATGATGATGAGGTAGCCTAAAAAAACCCCAAAAAACAAACCCAAAACCCAACCCTGAAGGGTGAGGATGGTTTTCTAGACTTCATCTAGCATGTCAGCATGTCCACGTTGCATCTTTTAAGCAGTACACCAAGAAACAACTAAATTTTATATTTTTGTGATTGTTTTGTATAGTTCTGCATGCAGCATAAGAAAATAAACTAGGGTGAATCTCTTTAAGGTGAAACTTGACAGTTGTTGTCTGTGCTAAAAGTTGTCCTTCAGTGAAGTTCCATATGAATACCAGGGAAAGGAAGACAGTTTGTCTCAGATCCCTCTTCTCACTTATGGAGTAATGCATTTTTACAAAGTACTCTTTTCATATCTTGCTTCTGTCATGCTTAGCTCCTGTATGCTGCTTCCTTTTACTGGAGGAGGATATGAAAGATACAGTCATATCACTTTGCAGTTTACTCTGTGATTGTGGGCAGCCAGTGTCTGCAAGAGATGCTGACACAGAGCAGCGCCTGCCAGCCGGCTGCAGAACAGAGCAGGGGGAGAGCTGCCTGGCCTCATCACACTTGAATCCCCTGAGTTTTTGGGCTGCCATGGACGAGTTTTTCTATAGTATCTGTTTCATGGACATTTGTGAGCCATTCAGACATTACCATTATGATCCATGTATTTATCAGCTCCACACTTCATGACTTCCTTCCATTCACCTGTGGAGCTTCCAGGTAGTTTTTTTTTTTTTTTTTAATGATTGCTTTGATTGCAAATCTTAGGGATAAAAAAAGAAAATTAAAACAAAACAAAACTTCTTTTGAAATCTGTTAGTGACTTCTCAGTACTAGGAAAGAGAAACTGAGAAATGAAACTGAAGAACCTTTTCTGTACATACTAACCAAGGGACTGGGACGGAGACCTTTTTAAAAACTCTTTTGGGTAGGATTAAAGACTGTAAAATATCAGAATCTCTGCCCAAGGGAAAGAAGGATTTTTCTGATTGCATAATATCAGCCTTTTACCAAAAGGGGAGGGAAGCAGAGAATTGCTTCCATTTTAAGTAGTACGGTCAGAGGGAGTGTGAAAAGGTCTGAGCTGGACAGAAAATTTCAAGTTGCTGCTTCTTTGGAAATCTCTTTTCATGGAGATCTAGGGTCAAATTCTTAGTCTAAATTCTCTTTACACCATACTAACAAAACAGTGCCAGAGTAATTGAGGGAGACCTGGCTCCTGATAATGCTCTGGACTATCTTATCTACGTGTAGTCTGGCCTTTGTGATTCACGTGCATGTTAACGGGAGGAATAACGTCCTTGAAGATTGCTTTGAGGAGATGTGCATATTGTAGTAGCAGGGAGAAGATTTGATTCCTTCATTCTAATCCGTGCAAACCACAACTCTTGTCTCATCCAGCATGCTCTCAGAAAATGTGCTCAAATTTAATCCAGTCTAATTAACAGCCTGTCAGACACCAACTCATTGCCTTTTCCAACTGTGTGCTGGGCGTCCCCTGCTACCCATAAATCAGGGTGTGATTGCTGTGGGATCAGCTCCACAAAACAGTCTGTTGAGGCATCAGACATTTTTCCTGCAGCTGCAGAATGTGTCTCCATGCAGAGCTGAGCCAGTTCTTTGATAAGACCTTTGCAGATGATTCACTGTAATTTTGCATTTTACTGAAAGATAAGGATTTTCTGGTTCAGGAAAACAAATCAATTTCTTGGTGCTTATCGCCAGTACTTATGCCCTTCTTCTCATAACACAGTTTCTTCAAGGAAAATCTTTTAAAAGGGACCTTTTAGACTCTCCTGGAGATTACACTCTTGTAGTGGTCTTGCCTTCATCTGTAGATTTAATGGCTTAATAAGCATTAGACCCTCCTATTATATAGTAACAAATAGGAATACAATACTTTTATCAATATTTGGCACAATTAGTTTCTTTTATGTGAAACTAAATATTGATGCTGTCAACTGACTGCAGTTTAGGGGCATAAATTACAAATATTCTTGTGTGAGTCTTGGTCAAATTTTGCATTCATATACAGTAACCATCTAATGTCTTTCTATTCCTGTAAGCCATATGATCTGATTGCCAGATTACATGATTTGGTATTGTGCTTAGATGTCTGTGTTTTTATTGTTATGACCAATATTATCTTTTATTCTTACTGTAAATGGTAACAAAAAGTTAACTGCTTCCTCACACTATAAAAGGAATAAAGTCCCATTTACAGAATGCCTCTAAACAGAAAATATCTCTGGAAAAAAAGATATTCTGAATAAATAATTCATAACACGATGCATGTACGAAAAAAGATCTTTTGATGTATTTTGCTACTCAGAACAAAACTGGATTTTTAAAACAAAGTAACTGGCTATTTTAATAGAGAACAAAGCCAGCTTTAAAGAATTATTGCAGTGGTGTCAGTTCTCTGTGCATTTTTACCAATTTTGCACTTCTGTAGGTAACAGAACTTGTGAAATTGAGGACTCCATCCCCTTGGTTTTCCTGATTATTTTTCTTTGTTCATCCCCTTGTTTTTTCATTAGCTTATTTCTTGGCTTATTTTCTAAATGAAATGTCAACCCAGCCACCTAGAGGAAACCATAACATTTCAAGGACTTCAGATTGTGGCAAAATGAATTAGCCCATCTGTAATATAGACAGACAGAAAACAAATACTTAAAGGCCTGATTTGCAGAAAAAAGCCTCTACAACTCAAATAGAGTTATAGAGCAGGTATGTTTACTCCGGCGCCGGGGTGCAAGGGGATCTCTCCACAAAGCTTGCACACCCACCGCACATTTTACCAAAAACTCACAAGAGTGTGGATATCCATATTCATCGGATTACATAACACAAACATACATATGCATGAGTAAGGCTGGCTTAGAAAGGCTGATGTCAACAGTTTATGTCATCTTTGCACCTACCCATTGCCTCCTGGTGGGCTTCTTCGGGGGTCTTTGGGAGGAAGGCTCGTAGTCTTTCTTTGTTTTTTCCCTAGAGCATGTGGATTCTCTTGGCCAATTTCTTGAATAACAAGAGTGTTTTTCAGCCGGTTTACTTTCTATCTTATCTAAGAGAACCAATAGAACTTCTACCATTCGTGTATGGCTCTCTTTATTCATTAGCAAAATTCCAACTAGTTAGAGCCACCTGTTACTCAAGGCCAAAAGTATAGTATTTTGCTGACCATTGCAATCCTTGGTAGATTTTCACCGTGAACTGCTTTGTTTTGACGAACACAGTAGTCCTTGGTAAAATTCCACAGAACAGTCTGGGCAAGCAGGATTCTTAGCAATATTTAAAAAAAAATACTATAACTTGCTATAAGTAAATAAGTTGCTAAGCAGTTTTCTATTAAGTAAATAAATCTCAAAACAAATAATCATTTCTCTGTATCAGGCCTCGGGATTGATGTCTCCAGCTGCCTATACTTTCAGTGCATCGTGCTCTGGATTTCCACAGTACATACGATGAAAAGATCCCCTAAAAGCATCCCTGAGAAAATTAGCATGTGCATTTCCTTTTATTCTCACGAAACGGGAGGATCTTCATCAGCTAAACAAAACACATTAAGCGATCATTTCTTGCTAACTAGTGAAGAAATACTGTGGGAAACGATCCAGGGTGGCTCCATAGCGCGGGAGGGGGCGTGGGGAGCCGGACACCAGCGCAGCCCTGGCGGGGGGGGAGCAGCTGAAACCGCGCTGCGGGGCGGCTTAGGTGAAGGTGAGACACAGCAAAAAAAGTTTTTGCTCCTCAAACCGAACGACTGAATCAGATTTTACGCCGATTTTTGCACTTCGATCCCGGATGGAGTTCAGGTGAAACGAGAACCAGCGGGTCTGACCCTGGTGAGGCTCTGAACAAGGGATGGCGGCCG